CACGCACGCACGCACGCACGCACGCACGCACGCAGGCACGCAGGCACGCACGCACGCACGCACGCACGCACGCACGCACGCACGCACGCACGCACGCACGCACGCACGCACGCACGCACGCACGCACGCACGCACGCACGCACGCACGCACGCACGCACGCACGCACGCACGCACGCACGCACGCACGCACGCACGCACGCACGCACGCACGCACGCACGCACGCACGCACGCACGCACGCACGCACGCACGCACGCACGCACGCACGCACGCACGCACGCACGCACGCACGCACGCACGCACGCACACACACAACACCCCGATTCCGCTGGCATCTGCAGACTGCGCCGACGCGCGACACAAAAGAGTTCAAGTTCTTAAGACGTACAGTTGGTGGCGCATGGCTGACGTAACAAAAAACCCTAAACCCTGAATATCCGATGAATATCTTTAAGTTTTTGGACTCGGCTGCAGCAAGCAGGAAGCCGAGGATGTGTTGGCCTCTCTGCCCAAAGAAGACAGAAGGCAAATTGCCAGGCGCAGGGAAGCATCCCTCTGCTCAGTTTGACAAGTTGAAGGTTGCTGAAGAGCTGAACTCCGACTGTTGCCAACTGCGTCTGCAGGCGTATTGAGGTGCTTCGCTGGCCGAGCGAACCCGAGACTGCTGAAGAGCTTGAGGTGTGGTGGATGGCGACGGCTTTTGGGGGGGTTCGGTTGTTTGTTTTCAAGTTGGTATCCTAAGTTGCAATCTCTCTGCAGCTGAAATCATCTATGTCCTGGAATTCATCTCGAGCGCAGGCGGGCGTTTACCTGCAGCGGGCTGGAAGGTGATCTGGTGAGACTGCGATGGAGCATTGATGGAGCATTCGCTCAACTCCTAGACGGAGATCCTGCACTCGGCTCATCGAGCAGCTCCGGGGCATCGGCCTTTGCGTGTAGGAGGTCTCAAGACCTGGCATGCCTCACATGCTTCAACTGTTAATGTCGCGTGAAGCGAAGCCGCTTGAAGCGAAGCGGCCTCGCTTCTGAGCCTGAGCCTGGCATTGTCGCTTTGTCCTGGAAAGTTGGGCTGCATAGGCGTTGCATGGCGTTGCTGCATGTGCATCAGTTTGCCAAGTTGACCAAGTCTTGTTCATACCGTTCATACATGTGAAGCACGGGAAAGTTGACATCAACTTTCTGGAGGTGTGGTTGCGCAGCATGTGGCGTGTCAGGGTAGAGGATTTGGCTCACAGCACGGCTCTCTAAGCTTTGGCTAACTCGAACCCCGAGTGCGCTCCTCAGGCGTCTCTGCGATCAGGAACCTGTAGACGCAATGCCCCTCTCCTAAGGTGAGCAATGTCCTGGGCCCAAGCTTCCATACCTGATTCATGAGATGGTAGGGGGCCTGCCCGTTCGAGGCCTCCTACCATCACGCAGCACATGGACTACATCCAGGTCGCCCGTCAGGGCGTGGACGTTTGCTGTCGCGGCTGTGGTCTGTGGCGAATGGCATGCTGATGAACTCCTGGCTCGATAAATGCCCGCAGCTTTGGACTAAGCATGAAACATCATTAAACAAAACCATCTGTTCCTCTTCATGATCCGCTCCCAGACGTATGGAAAAACATGAGAAGACCATGGAAGAACTGCTGTGGGACCTTGCAATCGCAGTGAAGTGGGCAGTCGGTAGAATTGGCGCGCAATGCTTCAATGCTGCTTGCCAGCCAGCTTGCTGCCCAATGCTGTCTTCTCCATACTTTGAAGTTTGGAGATAAAGTCGATTTGTGATGCCAAGGCTGAGACATGAACTCATCGAGGGGGCTGCAGCCCTTGTGTTAGGGCTTTAGGGGTTATGGGGTTTAGGGTTCGGGTGAAGCGTTCAATGTCCTAAGGCTGCTCGCCCTGCTGTGCTTCCTGCTCGTGGATCAGTCCGTGGCCAAGAAGGGTGTCTATCGTTCGGGGCAGCGGGCAGCGGGCTGAAGACTTAACCAAACGGGTGCTGAACCCGGATGTGGCTTGACCTGGAGATTGGGTAGGTGGATGGATGTCTGTCTGTGACTGATGTTCGGCTGAGAATGCACATGTTTGGTTGAGGATGCACTTGTTTGGGTTGCGTGTGCCGGTACTCGACCAAATTGATTTTGTTAGCGCGTTGTCTGTTGAACTCTGTCAATGACATCATCCGACCGAGTTGGGCATGATCCAATGCAGATCTGCTGCCAGCCTTGTCTTGGAAACAGCAGAGATGGCTCCCTGATTCTAAATTGAGATGACGTTTCAGAGCCGGATCGTCGAAGATTGCTGGAATGCTGCGCCCATACCCTGGCTATGTGCTGGAGCAGGATGGAGCCCAGGTTTCTCGCACTTTTGCTCTTGACACCTGCATGTTTATTGTTGTTTAAGGGCGTTAAGCGCAAGGCGCACGAATGCACGTGGCACGCCCTCTTTTTGTTGCTTCTACTGGGCTCTTTGCCTTGAAAAGGGGCTGGCTGACCTGTTTTGTTAGCTTTCTCAGTTTGAACCCCCACCTTTTCCACACAGGACCACGACTTGCCTTCGATTCGTTGAGCGAAGCTGTCCAAACATTCGTGTCTCGCGAGCGCCTTCCGTGGAGTCCAGCAGAGGCCTTCCGGTCGCATCATCCGCCTTGGGGGAACTTTGCCGCTGAGCCGCTTGAGTGCTGCCTGAGCCTCTGAGCCTCTGAGCCTCTGCTCTGGGCAGCTCTCACACGTGCTCTCGCAGATGCCGACTGACTCTCTTAAAACAGCTAGAAGAACCTTCAGGTCGAACGAGCATCCTTGCAGGGCTTGCAGCTCTTGGCCGCCAGACTGAACCAGCTCTGGCCCAAGCATTTTGAAGGGTTCTAGAAGCTTTCCTTCCACTGCGATGGTCCCTTCTTCCACAAGGTCCACGCCCTTCAGCGGGCAGCACAGCCTCCCGCTCAAGCTCCGTGTTCAAGTCGAGGACTGGGATTTGGACTGGGCCGTGGCCTCCCAGTCTCCTATCTTCACAACATCTTCATCTCATCTTCATTCATGCTCTTGGCAGTCATGGGTTGGCCTGTGTCCAGGACGATCTGGGCGACTCTGACAAGGACCTCGCCCGTGCTTCCCGGAGCTTCCATCCTATCATGCAAGCTTCTTTTGAGGCAGCCGAGATTTATGCCCGCATGCTGCAGAACCAGGAGGCAGACGTAGAGATGAGGAGGGCGGAAAATGAGAGCTTGCGAGAGCTCGACAGAGAGTTAGGTGGACTACCTCTTCGCCTTGCACGGCTCGGAAATGTTCAAGGTCCTTAAACCCTGAACCCTAAACCCTAAACCCTAAACCCTAAGCCCTAAACCCCAAACCCTAAACCCTAAACCCTGTGCGAAATGTGCCAGCTGTGCTTGCATCCACTGACTGGATCAGCCCCGTGCCGATGTCAGCGTGAAGGTTGCAGTGGATGCCGGCGACTCGGCTGGCGTCCTGACCCTCCTCAGTGGTGGCCCGCAGATGCCTTGGCGCCTGAAGCGAAACTCACTCTTCCTAGGTTTAGGGTATAGGGTTTAGGGTTGAGGGTTCAGGGTTCCATGCGCTTCCAACTTCGTGGGGGGGGGCGGGGGGCCTCTGCTCTGCCTTTTTTTGTTTGTTGAGGGGTTGCTGAGGTACCTACTGGGCTCGGCCATTGGGCCTCAGCTGCACAGCCCGTGGACCTTCTCCGCAGATGTCCAGGCTAGGCTGAACCTGCAATATGCTGCAATGTTCTATCTCCACAAGTTGTGCATTCCAGAATATTCCACAGCTCACAGATGCTCGCAGGTTCAAGACCTGATGGGAGGAGTCCTCGATCCCCGACTGGATTCGGCAATTCCGGAAACGGGGAAGCGATTGCTGATTTAGATGGTTTTTCATCTCTTGCTGAGCTCAGGATCTTGTTCAACAGCAAGAGCCCCCTGCCAGCTCCGTGGCGCTTGTGTGGGATGTGCGGGGCTAAGCTATGCAAAGCTAGCCCAAGCTGCATATCCTCCTCTTGAGCTGGTGCTGTTCTGGCCGAGGCGGGCAGCTCTTTTGACAAGCAGATGTGCGCCGGGGCAAGCTCCCACGCACAGCGCAACTCGGCAGTAACGGAACCAAGTCAGAACTCGAAAGCGTGATTTAATCCAGGGCTTTCGGAGTGATGTGCTGCTTACTTGCCTGGAACAAGCATAGTGCTGCAGGTTTGGGTATGGAAGTCTTGGACAACATGAGCTTTGCAGAGCAGGCCATTTCTTGCGCAACAGAAAACCGCGCCCATCTGAATGTGTCTTCATCTCTTCATCTGCAGGCCATCATGCCGCAGATGCGGCAGCTGAAGGCCGCAGGTGGGACAGCTGGGGACGAGGACGACAGGGGGCGTGCTTGGCGCTGCGTTGCTCCCTTGCCAGATCCGGACTTGCTGATCGCCTGTGGCAACTTGCGCAGCGCGGAACAGATCCTCGCTTCTGCCGCATGGCCAGAAGATGCCAAAAAGTGGCAAACATGTCATCAAAACCGTTCAGAACAAATGCCATCTCTCTTGGGTTCGAGGCCAGTACGTTGGGCGGCGACCTCGGAGTTCACGTAGCACTTCCTCAGAGAGTTGCGGGAAATTCAAAGCATTCAGCGAAGCCCAAGGCTTTATTCCGCGCGGAATCGCGCTCACGGCGATGTCTACCAGGAGATCAGGGGCTGCTATTTGGGGTGGGGAGGATAGAGGCAGATTCCCGGGCTGTTGTCAGGGAAGCGGTGCGCTCCATTGGGGCGCACCTGGCGCCCCGATCTCAGAAACACGGCAAGAGCTCGGCACATTCGCCTCAAGAGCTGAAGCTTAGGAACTACGTGTTGAGTCCCCTGGCCTGGGAACCTTCTTCACAAAGCTGCCCAGTCTTTGGCTGGGAGCCTGACCCAACAGCTCGTGCCCTCAATGGCGTCACCCGCCCAGCCCAAGGCTCGGCCTTCGCCTTTGCAGACGCCTATCGTGCAAAGTTCAGAGAGGCCGGTCGTTATGTCTGAGTTCTGTCTGTGAGCGTCATTGCGAGACATGTATATATATATATATATATATGTGTGTGTGTGTGTGTGTTTATTTATTTTGTTTACGTAACTCGAGAGAGACACCGCGCAGGAGCCACTGCCAGACAGCGCTGCGGCAGCAGCAGGTGGCATTGCACTCTTGGCCGCCATCCAGGCTGCCAGGATCTCTGCACAGGTTGCTGCGCTCCTCTGTGAGACAGCTGGTATCTGGGATCCTGGCCCAATCCATAACTGCAATCCCCCAGGCCGGCAGCCTCGAGCAAACTGCTGTGCGGGAGGCAGGTGTCGGTGCCGGCACACGCATAGCACTTTTAAACTTTAGTTTGCTTGTTCCAAAGAGTTCTTCCTGTAATTAGGGAGTTGCTCAGAAGCAACTCCCAGAAGAGACGGCTGAAGGCGCTGCTGACGCGAGAGCAGCAGACCTGTTACGGACGGCTGGCCTTCAACGAAGCAGGCCCTCAGCTTGACTTCATAACCTCCACGTTTCCTGCGCCAAAGAGATTCGTTGCACCGAGCGGTTTGTGAGAACACCTTGTGAGTACAGTCTTTGAAATGTAAGACTCCCGTTGAGGTCTTAGACGCAACCCTGTGACCCTGGTCCAGCAGGCGCTCCTTCTTGTACTTGTAAGCGGGCTTGGTGAGTTTTTGGAGCGCCCTTTCCTCCATCCGGATGAGGTTCAGCCGCTGGACGAGGACGCTTTTGCAAGTTGTGAACTGATGTTCTTGGTACTGTTCTCACTTTGCTGGGTGACCGTTCCTCGCACGTGTTCGCCTCGGCCGCAGGGTTGGCTGTTGCTGTCGAGGGTCAAGCAGGGTCTTCCCTCAGACCTCTGGGCACAGATTAGATGGGCACAGAATTTGGCAAAGGGAGTTTCGATTCCACGACAGGGGGAAGCAGTGACGTCAGCCGCCACGACGGTAGTCTGAAGTGGCAATCTCTGGATATCTCTGGCATCGGTCCGGAAGACTTCAGAACTCCCACGTTGAACAGCCTTCTGGCAGGGGAAATCTTGAGTGCTGGGCTGTGATGCCTCTTCGTGTTCTTGGTGCGCGAAAGGACCAACCGAAGATGGATCGATGGACCAGCGCACAGATAGTGACGGCCAGCTGTGTTCCAAGACAGTGCGTAAACATGCCCTAAACATGCCCTGAACAAAGTACTTAAAACTTCTTGTTTCCGATTGCTTGTTGCTCGGATGCAATTCGGGACCTGAAGATGCTTAAACCATCCTAACCCCCAAGTTTCCTTTCCAAAAACGCACCTTGCTGACTCGAGGTCAGGAGACACTGCTCGGCTGGCCATTGCCCAGCTGGGTGCAGAAGGAGATCGACGTGTACCCCTGCATCCCCGGCCAGGCCAATGGGAAGCCATGGGAAACCATGGGAAACCTTGATCCCTAGTACCATGTAAGCAGAGGGCAACGGATGACTAGAGGAATGAAGACGTAGGGAAGAAAACGTGACGGAGGTGCACCTGACAAAGCAAACGAAGTGCACCCAGACCAACCAGCAAGAGACAGGGGTGGTGACTTGAAGGTGGAGCATCATTCTACATGGAAGCCATCCGGCACAGAACCCACACTTCATGATCCTCCAGAACTGCTAATTGCACGGTCTTGTTTTGAAACCAACTTCCCGAAGCTTCGTTCCAGGCCGTTGTTCTGGACATTGGTGGTAATGCAACAACATGCACGCAGGGAGCTCACTCTCACGGGACATGTGCCTCACACTTGCACTAGTTCCTTGCACCGCGATGAACCGACACGCACAGGAAGTGTCCCGCCGGACGGTACCGTACACCTCGATCTGTGGAATGTGAAGACTGTCAACCGGGAACGTCTTCATCTCAAAGCAGATGCTGTTCTAGCAGATGTGATGCCTGCGACTTCCTGTTCTTTGAGTTCTGTGGCAAGGTATGGCATGCAGTCTGGCATGAGCCAGTGCGACGTTTGTCCGTCGGGGGCTGCATGCCGCAATTCTGAGCTTGCTGCTCAGAGAACTTGGTTTTTGCATATCGCAGTCGCGCCATATCGCGAACTTGGTCTGTAGTCATTGTGGGTTCTTGGCGGAGTTGCCCAGGGTGGTTGCCAAGCCCGGCCGGCAGCCCAGTGTTCAGACGAGAGCCAGATGCGGTAGACTCAGTAGACTCAGTAGACCTTCTCTGCATTCTCTGCAAAAAGCATAAGGCTTCTATCAGCTTCCAACAGCTTCCTTGCAAGAGGGCACCTTCGTGGCCCCGACGGATTCCTTTCCGACTAGCAGCTTTGTTGAGCCCTTTGAAGATGCCCTTTTCCGAGCAAGCTCGCCAGGTGCCGTGCTACCCGCAGCACCTCTGCACTGGGAACAACCAATGTACAGAGGCTCATCAAGGCATCTTGTGCCCGGATCCTGGAGCTTCACCGGACAAAGAGAGAGAGAGAGAGAGAGAGAGAGTCCGATACCGCTACCCGTTTAAAAAGGGGACGTGCCCGAAGCCTGAAGCCACCTTAAGTTGGGGGTCCTTGTGTTGAAGTAAAAAGGCTCCTTTAAGGGGCCTTTGGGCTCTCTGAGTCCGACCTGTCGTCGCACTAAGGCCAGGGCTGTGAGTTCGGATTCTCAAAGCCGCTCTGGGGGCTGAAGCGCGGGGACCTCAGGAATCCTTTGGGGGTTTACGACATTTTGGGGTACCTTTCTGGGGGGTCCTTCTTACAGAGGGGCCTAGTGTTTGGGGGTCTATATTAGGGGCCCTTATGATCGTGAACCCCCCCCGTGTGAAGCATCCTCAAGGTGGTTTTGGTAGCTTTCAATCATAATTAGTAGCATGGGCGCTACTGCGTATCTTCAGAGCTCTTGAAGCTCAATCCCATATGGTGAGTTCTCTGTAGGATGGTCCCTTTTGGGGCCCTTACTCTACTTCTCTAGGGTACCCAAAAAGGGACCAGGATGTTGCTCGGGGCAGCCGGCCGAGGTGAGGTATGTACCAAGTGCCCAAGCCAACGAGCATGGGCCTTAAACCGCCTTCTTCCTTAACTGGAAGGCGCAGGGCTGGCTGGATCGCGCTGAGACAAAGGTCACAGTTGGAAGCATCGCGCTGACGATCAGCGTGTATGTTTGAGGCTTACTGAACCAGCGGAGGTGTAGCAAAGGAGAGGCAGCACAAGTGATTCTAGAAACAGCTTCTTGCATCACAGGGCACGCGCCCTCAGGTGTTGTATATCTGGCTGATCGTGAAGGGCACGAAGTCAGCATCACAGTCCATGCGCGCTCTGCCCTCCGTGATCCTCAAGATTGGCCTGAGCCTCGGAGTTATAGATCTTAATAGCTAGTAGTCCTAAGAGCACTGCAATCGTATATCGTGATGTAGTGATGGTGCTCACTGCTAGCTGGCTCAGGCGTGAACTACATCCAGTTCGTGCGCTTGCTCAGCTGTTGCAGCCGTGTTACAACGAAGCCCTGCGCTACAGCAGCTTGACATCTTGGGAGGCGGGCACCGCGTTCGAGGCCACCAACTTCAAAGCCTTGGACCCGAGAAGTGGAAGAGAGTGGAAGAACATGGAAGAACTGAGCAGTTTGTGTGGTCTGGCAATCTTTGTACAGTAGGGCTTAACCTGCCTGGCTATGACTTCTAAGATTAAGCCCAAAGCTTTCTAAAGCTCCCTGAGGCCATGGTGTCGACCATCTGCGGGGAAGGCTCTGCCACGTGGATCTTCCCCATTGTCGCTCTGTGCGATGCTCAGAGCATCGTGTTTCCGCTCTGAATGCCTCCCTAAGGCTTTTTGTTTTTGTTGCGATGCTCCTTCTTTGAACCCAGACCCAGGAGAACCCCTTAGGGGTCAGGGCAGAATCAAGTAGAATCCTGTAGAGTGTGTTTGTGGACAGGCCAGAAAGGCTGCAGTATCCTCTGACCACTCTGATCAGCGAAGGGCTCAGTGTTTGGGCGTCCCGACATCACCTGATTGCGCTCCTGCTTGCCAAGGTTTGGATTGTATTCTGCCGCTGGAAAGCAGTGTGCGACCCTATCAGGCGTATTCTGCGGGGCCTTGTCGGACGTGGTCCAGTCAAGACTCGCCGCATGCAGGTCGAGATTCTGGTGGGCCGAGCGCCAAGCTCCGTTTCTGTTTTTGCTATTGCGACCTCGGCCTTGTTGTTGCAGCAATGCCAAACCGCCTGTGATGGCGAAGCACTTGTGATGACTCAGCCAGTGCATGATTGCAAGCGCCTGCTGGCATCAGCAAGGACATGAACACAGATGACCCTGAAGCATGTGTGCAATCCCCTCACATCTCCACTAGGCTGCCGGGGAAAGATGGGCTGGCTGGGCTGGTGGGCAGTCGTGAGGTCACGGCAGAGTCACATGATCGCATGCCTTTGGAGGGGCAGGCCTCAGCATGAGGAGGCTACAAGGGAGGAGTTGTGTATGGCACCAAAGAGAGAGATGGCGAGGATCATGGATGGGATGTGTTTAGAGACTGGGGAGAACCAGCAGAAGCGTCCTAACTGCCCGAGGCCTTGAAGCCTCGGTGGATTTGAGAAACCCCACACTTCAGCAAGAAATCCTGAGGCTTAACTCTCATGCCGGCAGCATTCTTCATCATGACCTTCTTCGCGTTTGTACGGAAGGCCCGGAGCCGGTGATCTCCGAAAAGTTGGACTCTTGTTGAGGACGTTAAGTTATTATTGTTTTGGCCAGAAGAATAGGGCTATATAGAAAAGTAGAGTATCCTTGTTGCAAGAGCTTGCGCGCGCCGCCTCGGCAGCCGGGCTGGCCCAATGCGGGGTGTAGCATGCGCATCGCAGACGAAGGAAAGCCAAGTCATAATATGTCAGCGCAGCACCACGGTCTAAGACTAGGGTTCCGACAAGCGGTCCTGGGGGGGGGGGGAAGGGTTGGGAAGGGGGGGGGAAGGAGACCAGATCCTGGTCTGCTTGCTTGTTCTAGACGCCTCTCGACGAAAGCCGAGGCGAATGATGGAGACTAAAAAGCCCCTTAACAAGAACCCAATTTGAGGATATCTCGGTCAGGACTGCATCGGTAAAAGGCTGGTGCCGTGGCTCCGGCGTCGACGAGCCACTCGGCCCGAAACCTTCGCCTTGCAATCCCTAAGCCCCTAAGCCCGGCTGACCATCCTAGGGTTTAAGCCCGCTTTCGGGCGCTGTTGGCCTGAAGATCCTGAGGCACGCTACAAGGCTCGGCGCTCGGGCTTCGGAAAGCACGATTTTTGGGCTTAGAGATGCTTGCAGGGCTTAGTGCTTCTTATGAGTCTTTAGGGGTGTTTGGGAGAGGTATACTGAGTGGGGCGCTGATAGGATCCCTTCATGTCGAATGTGGCATCAGAGAGGAGTCGACAAGTGAGAGCTTCACGCGCTTCGGCTCAGGAAAGGAAGAGAAAGCGTGAGGCAGAGCAGATACCTCAGCCATGTTCCGTATCTGATACTCAAGAGAGCAAGGCGCCTCTGCCTCGGCAAAACCAAGTGGTAGGTGTTAATGTGACATTAGGACTTGGGGTTGAAGGATGGTTCAGGAATGATCAGGGCTTGTGGAAATGGACCTGTTTGCTTGACACATCTTGACTCAGCTCTTGCTGAGGCTCGGCGTCATCGTGGAAGCTGACCAGGAGGCTCTGTAGTCGTTCTTCCCTTATAGACTAGGTATGCTACAACTTTACATAAGCCCTTGACTCCGCGACTTCCTAGAGCCAGGAGGAGGAGGATCCCGAGCCGTGTGGGACCGAGACTGTCCATGAACGACGCGCGATTCAGAAGTTGGACGCGCGCGATTGAGAAACTGGTCGCGGTTCAGGATAGTCGGATTCAGGAAACTCCGGTGCTTCAGGACATGCAGATCAAGAAACTACCCGGCTTGCTTTCAAAGGGCTTTCTGATTCCCGGGTCCGCGGTTTCGATGGTCCGCACTTTGCAGTTTCACGAATCCGCGGTTTCGAGTTTCGGACTCCGTGGTTTCCAGTCGAATCCGCGTTTTATAGCGTTTTCCACTTTCCCGAATCCTTTTTTTCCAGCTTCCGAATCCGCTCGTTTTCAGTTTCCGAATCCGCTGTTGACCGAAGCCACAATTTTCCAAGGTTGGTGGTGACTTGTAAACGCCACCGGTGAAGTGATGGCGTGGTTGTTTCGGTTTCAGGAGCTGAAGCAGCTGTGCCATGAGCAGTCTGAAACCTTTTGATCTTCAAAGCTTTCGAGTTGGCTTCCCGCCGGGTAGTCAGTACAGCAGCCGCTGTCGACTGAAGGCTGTCGCCCTGCTCTGGTGCGTCGCGTCGGGACCGGCGAGATCATGTCAATCCATTCGTCTCGCACTTGCACATCGAGCATAGGATCTAGGAGCCCTTCTTCAAGCACTTTCTGCAAGCACCACAGGACATCCGTTCGTCCACCTCGCCCGTGTCACCCACCCCGCCTGCATCTCGCAGAGGCAGCGAGGGGCCGGCGGCACAAGGGCAGCACAAGGGCGTGGGGCAGCACTAGGGCGCGCTGGAGCTGTGACTGTGCTCACTGATGTCCGCAGGATGTGAGCACGACGAACTGACAGAGCTCACATTCACATATGAGCACATGTTCCTCGTTGCCTACTGTAGTATCCTAGCGAGTCTAGTGAGGGTGCACCGCCTGCCATGGTTCCCCTGGCTGCGCCTCTGCGACCGCACCTGCAGCGTGCCGTTGGCCGAGCTGTCAGTTGTCCAGCAAGCAGTCTAGCGCGCTTCGGTAGTTCAACTGGGAACCGGCTGAGGATGTAAAGCTGTTGCGGCACGTGATGGGCATGTCCCTCTCGATGCAGGACTCCTTGCCAACAGGTGACATGCCATCGTGTGTTTGGGCCTTGCCCCAGAGGCCACGGAGGTCGTCGCTCGGGTTTCAGAAATGGCGGCCGCAGCTTTGAGAAAGCTATGTGCTGAGATGCTTGGATTCGCACGTGGTGTCATGTGTCAATTATTGGGCATGGAGTAGAGCGGCTGGGCGTCGCCCGAAACAGAAAGCGACCCTGCGGAAGTGTCGTCTCTGTTGGCTTCTTCGCGTGCATCTTTGCTTGCGGCAGCTCCCATTTTCACCTTCACCTCTGCTGTGACATCCTCCACCTGCATCCAGCAGGAGGAGGACACCTGAGCCCAATTGTCACCATCATTGACCCCAGGCATCTACAAACTCGCCTCAACCTCTCGCCAACCGCCGCACATGGCTCGTGCACATTCGTGCGCTGTGCACCACAGTTTTCATGACCGCGCAATTTTCTGGCGTTGATCGTAAGGATAAGAGCTGGCAAGGCTGGGGTGTTGAGATGGTTGAGTCACCTCCATGTGCGAGCCGTGATGTTTTGCTGACATATCGGAGCCATGTCGGACAGGTTGGGCGGATGGATTCGATGTCAGAGCTGGAACTCTTTCAGTCGCCAGTCGCCGAGACGCTTCCTGGCTCAAGCGATGCTCGGAAGATGGCATAACAGTAAAAGTAATAGTAAGAATAATATTAATAATAACAAGATGAATAAGAACAATATGAGTCACAATAATCATAAGAATCATAGTAATCAGAATACTCATAATATTCATAATAATCATAATAGTTATAATAATCATAATAATCATAATAATCATAATAATCATAATAATCATAATAATCATAATAATCATAATAATCATAATAATCACAATAATCACAATAATCATAATAATCCTAATAATCACAGTAACCATAATAATCATAGTAACCATAATAATCATAGTAATAATAATAGAATACTAATATTCATAGCAACAACAAAAACAATACTAACATAATAACAACAAGAAGATGAAAAATATGAATAGCAATGTAATAACATGATTACCGATGTGGCCTCGCAACAACGCGGGTAATATGCCGGGTCCAAACTAAGGCTTGGAATCCGGACACTGCAGAGTACGCTTCCTGGTCAGCTACTGGGCTCCGCAGCAGCAAGGCTTGCCGCTGTGATCTTTTGTCGTAAAGTTAAAAAAGCTCTTGAGGGCCACTTACTCGTGGCTGCCGCTACACAGGCTTCTACCCAGGAATCGTGATGGAGGCCTCCGAGCCCAATCTTCCGAAGAGCGACAAGCTGTTCGCCAATGAGCCGCTCGGCCCCGACTGCCTCTCTGCGCGAGGCGAAGCGAGGGTCGATGGTCGACGTGTTTCATTCGCACGCGGGGGACGAGGGCTGTGATGACCTTCAAGGTACGACGGAATGTATCTGGACGGCAAAGGCTGGTTACCTCTACAGTGGCGTGATCATTCCCTTCTGGAAGGTCAGCCGCTGGCTTGCACCACCAGTCGCCCATGAGATCCCATGAGACAGTCATAGGGTTCGGCTTTGTGGTGATTTGTGATGCCCTGAAGTTCTCGACGTCATCTGTGCCGTGTCAGGTCACGCGCCATCTGGCACGCGAATCGCTTGGCTGCCAGAGCCTTAAAAGGGCCCTCTTGGATCTTGGGGGGTTGCTGTCGGGCGAACAAATTGCAAACAGGTGGGGAATCTCCTGAACCATCCTCCGGCGGACACGCTGCCAAACTGTGTCCCGATGGCATTTCGATGGCCGACCTGGTCAGAGCTCGGCGCCGGCCCCGGTCGCGAGTGAGACGCGATGTGTTTCAAGGAATCGGTGTGCTGTGGTATGCTGTGGTGTTGAGGCGAAGAGAACCCTGCTCTCTGGGCGCGGCTTCTCCCGCACGTCTTCATGCGGCAAGGCTCAGAAAGTTTTCACAGAGCTTGGCTTCTTTGATGCTTCGCTTCTTGCTGTTTCTTTAGAGTAAATTCTTCAGCCGTCTGCAGAAGGACGAGTGGTGCAAACAGCAAGTGGCAGGAAAGACTCCCAGGACCGTGCGTTCTAGGTTCCCACACGAGGCTGGCAGGCCTTGGGTTTGCATGGCTTTCTAAAGAAGGGACCCTTGGAAGGGACCTTAGGGGCTATTTAGGGGCAACTTAGGTGTATAGGCAATAAGGCCTATGTCGGGGAATTAGATTAAGGGTCCCCTAAAGGTCCCTCCTTCTACCCCTGAACAGGAGGGAGCGGAGTTCCCTCCGTGGCCCTACATGGGCATGGCCTTCATCGCGGTGTTGGAGATGCGAGCCGGACGCTTGTCGAAATGATGCCTCCTCGCTGGGCGTTGGCATGACTGGTTGCAAGAATGGGTTGCGGTTTAGGGGGTGTTGCGGGGCATTGATCCCGGTGCGCGCCAGAACTGAGGGGAGGAGCTCTTTTGGAACTACCGTCGCTCGGCGCTGGTTGGGATGTGAATGCGCAGCATTGCGCAGCCTTTTGCAATTATTGCGTGCTCGCTGTCGCCACAGCCAAGGGCTCTATCCACGTGAGGGCTCCGTCAGATTCCCGAGTTGGTACTCGCCGGTAGATGAAGACGCGCTGGAGTCGCAAGTTTTCGGTTCGAAAACGTGGCATGTGCCCGCAGGCTCTTGGTGCTCCAGTTGCTGCTTCATGCATTGTCTCATGCACAGGCGAAGACTACCCGCTCACCCCGATGCCGGGGCCCAGGATCTACGGAAAACTTGCAGCGCCGCTGGCTTCACAGCATCTTCCTCAGCATCCTTCTGTTGTACCCGACATGCAGGTCGGCCTATGGCATGGCTTCTCCAGCCTCTCATGGCACAGAGGAGGACCAAATGTGGCGCTCTCCGATGATGGCCTCTGTCTCTCTCTCTCTCTCTCTCTCTCGTTATCTTTCGTTCTTTATTTCATTGCTTTCATATTTGTTTCTCTCCCTCGCTCTGTGTCTCAAGTCTCAAGCCTGTTGTTGCACTGCACAAGGGTGGCTTCCTGGTTCAAAAGCTTCACAAGAAGAGAGCACGAACTTTCCCACATTGCCTTCTGGTTAAGAAAACATCCTTGGGGCTGGGCAGGACATTCCAGTGAGGGACACGTAAGCCACTCTTGACGAGTCCACGCATGTAGAGTTCAATAGAGGCAACGATGCGTGTGGCACCGTCCATCGGCCGGTGATGGGAAGCGACGAACAGTGGCAGCTTCTGCCGGAGTTGGAATACACGGATGCTGTGGACTCGTGGAACGTCCGCGCAAGCCCAGAGCTGGACGCCTATGTGCTTTGCGCGTTGCAGCATGGCCAGCCCTTCAGCGTGCTCGAAGAGCACGAGGACTGGGTCCATGTACGCACCGAGAATGGTGTGAAGGGCTGGAGCTACAAGAAGTTTGGGGACCGTCAAGTTCTGGTTCCTGTCAGCCACATCGCTCCAGTCCATGCGCAGCCAGACCTCAGCCTCGTGTCCGGGAAAGTCTCTGGGGACCTTTCGGAGCTGATGTCGGAGCTTGGCGAGCGGCGCCGCTCCCTCTCCGAAGCGCCGCCCACGGAGCTGGTCCGTGCAGCCCATGGCGTGCAGAAGACCATGGCCAAGCTGGAGCTCTACGGCATCGAGCAGGAGATCTTCTGGGATCCGATTGCAGCTTCTTCTCTCGTCTTCGTTTTCCTCTCTTTTTTCCAGCCTTTTTTTCCCTCACTGATTCTATCTGAAGCCGACAGGAGAAACTTCTTGCGGCCGAGAGCCAGGAGGACTTGGCGGCCATCCAGAAGGCTGTCGAGGACTTGGGGCAGCAGTCGGAGCTTTCTTGCCCTGCTGTGACAAGCGCTTCAGCCCTTCCACACAGCAGGACTTCTCTGTTGAGCTGTGCCGGTCTTCTTCCTACAAGCACTCGGCACCATGGCTACAATCCTGAACAGATGTTATATTTTTTGAGTAGGTGCACTTGCGCAGTGTATTGCAGTCTTCAATGTGTCTTGTGCGCGACAAGTGCATCCGAGGAGTTTCAGAATCCAGAGAAAGACAGCTGCTGGCTGTCGACTTTCTTCCAAAGCTTATGGCATTCCCGAGTCTTCCATGCCCTGTTCGACAGCCTGGTGCGCCCCCTGCCATCGCAGGCCACGCTGTCAACTTTGTTGGTTCCTGTTCGAGCCCAGCAGCAATCTGCTGTAGCTCTTTGACAGAAGCACGTTATCAAGGAGGGTGGAAGAGGGGTTCTAGAGCGGAGGTGGAGCATGCAGACTTCTTGTTCAAGGTGCGAGCCCTCAGATCAGAGACACAAGGGGAAAGGAATCGGAGTGGCGAGCACATGCCGCGTAGGCCCACATACGAACTCGCCAAAAAAGCAGAGCAATGTGTCACGTCCAGGCAGGAAGGTGGTGACAGACTCAGAACAGAACGGAACATCCTGCTCCAACGTCACTGCGAGAAAAAAAGGTCACAGGCGGAAGTCCCGTTGCCAAAAGTCTGCACGAATCTGCTGTTGGAATAGTTTCAACAAGGGCCGGTTGTGCAGGCATAGGAGAAGTAGAGGAGCGCCTTTCTGAAATAGCTCTGCGCTTCATGTGGCCCATGTGACAGGGTGCAGGAGCGGTTTCCGATGCGCTGCGAGAAACCTGGGAGCTGTACGAGCAAATGGCAGCGAGTGGCAGACCAGTGCCAATCCAGTTCCTGGTCAATGCATGGGGCAGCGGCTATGGCGACTGCGCGGAGGCTGCGCAAGCAACGTGTGTCTTCATGTCGCTGCTCTCTGCTGTGTGACGGAAGCCCGGAAGCCATTGGCCGTGAGGCTTTTGCGAAGCTGCAGGAGGCTGTGACACGGATTCTGGTAGCTGAGCTCACCTGGGATTGCGTACTGCACCCTGAAGATCCTTGGAGGATCCGTGCTTGAAGCCCCTGGCGGAGCTGATTGCATCGGTTCCGGTGCACTTCAGCGGCGCAGTCTTCACAGCTTCCGAGCTCTGGAAGGAGGTCGAGGAGATGGGCCTCTTGCCTGCATCAGCCCCGGGAGATGCAATGGCTGTTGGGGCAGAGTAGCAGTACTGTAGCAACAGTCGCAGGAGTAGCAATCGTAGCAGTACACGACACCCGAGTAGCAATCACAGTAGTAAGATCTGTAGAAATAGCAGTGGGAATCATATTTCGGTTCATGACACCAAGATAGCTGCGTGCGAAGAAGAGGAATATCAGGAATAGCACATGCCTTCTCGCCAGCAGGCGTCGAGGACGCACCTTTGTTGGCGCTCGACTTGGTGCTGCCCTCCATGAACAGCGGTTCGATCCTCAACTTGGTCCTGGCCATGGTGCCGCGCACCTCGGCGCTTCCATGGCCATGCCTGAGACTGCACTAAACTACCCTCTTGTAGGGTGCTGCTGGTCTACATGTAGGCTACGTGAATGGCCGCTTCTCTTCCCGTGTAGAAGGTCAGACTACACACACGGTAGCCATAGCCGTATCAGCTTGTTGCTGGCTGCTTCCAATCGCCAAAGGCAAGCTATGCCAGTAGCCTCTGTCACCAAGGCGGCAAAGCACGCGAAGAGCACGTGGCAGACCTGGGAGACAGCCACAACTTGGTTGCCATGATTTGCTACATCGAGGCTGTTGCCCACTACGTTGCTTGCCTGCCATTGGCATCTGGACTGAGGTTCTAAAGCCCCAAGCTTGCTGCAGTGGAAGTGCAATACCTGTGCAGAGGTCGTTTTCTGCCGGCGTCAGTCTGTTCTTTGGACTGCATTATCGAAGCTGCTCATGAAGATTTGACCTGTGTCGGTGCCTCGTGGAAGGATGACAACTGCTGGCTATTCTTCAATGACTTGCCAGGCGCGGGGTGGTTGTTTCTTGCCCATTCCTCTCAGCGCGCGCGCAGCGGAGCTAGCAAGGGACCCTCGTCAGGGGAGATGTCCGCCGTGCAGACATCGAACGTCGGAAAGGATTGAGGAAGAGTTAGCTAAAACTCAGAGAGGCGCAGGAAGCACACATTCAACAAAAGGGCAGGAGGGCAGGAAGCCATCACATGCCAACCCTTTGAAAGACGAAGCCACTAGCACCTGTCCACTGTGGCTATCTGTGGCTTGGCTCTTCGCGCGCGAGAGTTGTTTTTTCCCTGCTTAGGGCTTGAGTGATTCGGGGTTCAGGGCTTTAAGGGTCTTTAGTCTAGCCAAGCTGTACGTACATCTCAAAGTCTCCGGCTCTCGCCCGTGAGAGACGCGTCAAGCGATCCCAAGCCCAGTCGCCAGGCGTTGCCCGTGGCATTCGCAAAGAGTTCTTTGGCTGGGTTGCTATCGCTCACGAGTGCGCTCGCGGCCAGGCTGCATCTTTGAAGTTGGCACAGCCATCATGGGAGTAGGAGTAGGAGTCACCTTAGCAGTAGCAGCAGCAGGAGGAGTAGGAGGTAGCGGCAGCAGCAGCTGGTACCAGTACATGACATGCAGTATGTGGAAAAAGACGCGAAAGTATGTACCTGGGTTCTGGGCATGGTCGCCATCGCCCCCCACCCCCCTCCCCTCCCCTGCGGAGGTGGTGGTCGTTAAAAGTGTCGTAAAAAAGAGTGTCGTAGTATGGATGACATGATGGATGGCGTGATGGGTTTGATGGATTTGATGGATTTCGTTGCGTGACTTCGTTGCGTGATGGATTTGGTGGCTTTTCCTCTTAAACTTAATATAATATGTTTCAAAGCACGGGGTAGGGTTGGCGGGAGCCGCCGCACCTCGTTACAAAAAGTGGAAAAACGACAACCCTCTGCGTGTTTTGTTTTTGGCGAAACACAAAAACGATGACCCTCTGCGTGGACCCGGCGTGTCGTGATCGCGAGCATCAAATATGGCTTGGATTTCCCGCTCACTGCCAGACCTTGGCGCTACCCCATGCTTGAGCTGCGCTCCCATGCCTTGCAGTCCTTTGATAACGGTCAACTGCATGCGCTTTGGATCGACTTGCGACACTTGGCAACCAGCACGAGAGGCTCCATCGCCTTGGCACTGGTAGCAGAAGCTATGTGGGCTTCAAGCTTTTGCTTGTCCTCAGAGCACGGTGTGCTGAGACTCCATATGAGCCACCCAAAGCCTCGCACAAAACGCTGTTTGCCTGCCTTGCGCAGCTCAGCTGCCTTCGTGTTGTGACCTTGCGTTGCTGGCCGTGTTCTTCGGGATCAAAAAGCGTAGTCAGCACCGCAGTTCACGAATGTCTGCCGCGTGCTTCAAGGGCTCCTGATGATTTCTGGGTTGTGCGCAGCAAGCCCGGCGCTTACGAACGACCCCTGGCCGGGCAGCCGGAACAAGCAGGTCCGATTGCGTTGGATTTGTCTTGACAGTTTTTTTAGTTCACGAATGTCTGCCGCGTGCTTCAAGACTGACTGATTTGGCCAGCAAAACTGTTAGCTTGCGATGATTGTCTGCCGCCAGTGCCCCAGCTGGTGGGCCCACCCTCTGTCGCCTGGCGGGGGGGCTTCGCCCTGACCGCCGGATCCAATCAGCCAGGCTGGCGCAGGCGTGATGCTTGCAAGCTTAGTCGGCTGGGACTTGAGGTTGTTGCCTTTGTCTAGCAAAACAAGCTGCAAGCGAATCATGACCACATAAATGTTGCAGCCGGGCGGCGGTAGTGGCCGGCGGGCGGGGCGTGCCCCACAGTGATGTGGGGAAAACCCAAATGAATAGTAATAATAAGTTTCAAGGTCTCTTGGAAATTAGGCACTCTGAGAAAAGAGTCGTGAGATCTTTTTAATTTCCATAGATAATGGTTTCCATACATAAATTCGCGTGTTCCCACAGTAGCAGTGCCTTGCACAAATGAAGGACAGCTAGTGGGATAGTCCCTTGATGGGAGCTTACGGCCCACGGGCCGTTCTAATCTTCACAGTATTCGTGCGGCATTTTTAGAATAAAGTTGTAGCCGCGCCAGAATTCTCTTATCCAAACCTGTGATTGAATGCTTGACACAAAGCCCCTCATGAAGAACGTTTCAGTTTGTTATATTATAACGGGGTCTTTTGTGCACTCTTGACCTTGTTCATCAGCCGTTACAGCCAGTTACACACCGGGACGTACCATTCATCTCTGCGTGTTTGGGCGTGGTCGAAACGTGGTCGAAATGCAAAACCGATGACCCTCTGCGTGTGCGCGGGGCGTCGCGATGGCACGAACGACAGCCCTCTGCGTGTTTTGGCGTGGTCGAGCCGTTGAGGAAGCGCAAAACCGATGACCCTTTGCGTGCGCGCAGGGTGTCGCGATGCGGGGTGTCGCGATGGCACGAACGACAACCCTCTGCGTGTTTTGGCATTGTCGAAAATGGATTTTGTGTCAATCTTCTTCGTTGCCGTCGTTGATCGTCGTTGATGCAAGGATGGCTGTCGTCGTGGATGGATGTCGTCATAGATGCCGTGATGGATGAAAACTTTTTAAAATATTGTAAAGTATCTCTTAAATTCTGCCGTCTTGATCGCGACTCTAAAATGCTTTCGTGACAACCGTTCGCTAGTTTTTTGGACCCCAAAAGGGGGCCCTAATGTAGAGAATCACTCACTTGGAGATTCTCTGAATCACGATCCCTGTTCGGCTTCGGACTAGAACACACACATGTATATACATATATACATACACACACACACACATATTTTTATAGGCAGAACTACCCAAATGGCAACAGTAGCATTCTCCTACGATTCTCATGCCACTGTGGAGCTCCCAAGGCTTTGAGCTGAGACCGAAAGTTCTCCTGTATGTTGCCTGGATGCACCGGCTCATTTAGGGTTTAGGGTTTAGGGTTTAGTGGCTGGCGCTCTGGCATGTTCACTTGGGGATTGTTCTAAGCAGGTTCACCCCTGTTGCGGTGAGCCCATTTTAACGCGGGCCATCTTTTAGGGTACCCTAAAGCCCTAAAACCCTAGAGCATAAACCGCTCAAAGCTGCAAGGGTTGTTAAAAGAAAACCCTAAACCCGAAAACCCTAAACCCAAAAACCCTAAAACCCTACACCCTAAACCCCACATCAACCGCAAGGAGAGCGCCAAGAAGGCGGAGGAGACGATGAAGTCAGGGAGCCCAACCTTGCGAGCCTCAATCCAGGTGGGCTGGGGAGGGGGCCCTAAACCCTAAACCCTAAATCCCAAACCCTAAACCCTAAATCCTAAACCCTAAACCCTGAACCCTAAACCCTAAACCCTAAACCCTAAACCCTAAACCCTGAACCCTAAACCCTAAAACCTAAACCAGCTAGGCAAGTGGCTTTGCTTGTATAGAGAGGACTTCTGTTCCAGGGTCTACAAACACTCGCGCGAAAGTGTGTTTCGGAAGACCAGTTCGCAACATGGATGTTCACGCAACCAAGGGCCTTAACCATGCCACCATGTGACCTGCTTGTTGTTATGGTGATTTCTACCGCATGTTACGAGTTCTTGTCAGACTTTACTCGTGAATCGACAGGCAAATTGAGTCGTATTTCGCTGGTTTGGCTTTGTGGAGTATGTGTTCTTGCTGTATCCTCATTCCGTGAAGTTCTATGTCGTGGAATCTCGAGTGACTCTAGTGGTAAAGAGAACCAGCGACGGTGCCGTTCGCATGAGTGTCCCAGTAGCTGTCCTTTTGGCGATTTCTTTTCATATCCATATCTCCAGATTCAGTTATCATCATTACGGAAGGTATTTACCAAAACAACATTTCGGTGGAATTCAGTCTACACTACAGCAACAAACAACAGGTTCCATTCGCAAGCTATGTCACTACGACTCAATGAACCAGGCAACGAAAGTCTTGACAGCGTTAACGAAAACACTAGAATTCGAGCTATGTTCCCGTGATGACTTCGTTGAATGAACAAAGGTTGGCCCTTCGAACTGATTCGTTGGACCCGGCTGTAACGTTGGCCCGTCAGCTAGAGAGCGCGTGCAAGCTTCGACCCACCAACTCAGGAGCCCAGGGGCTAAAGGATTTCCCTGCTTTCCGTTTAAACGACTTTTCATGGAGGACAATACCATGTATGCGTTTACGATACATGAATCTACCAGTAGAAGTGTCTACCCACATGTCTACACACATGCATACACAAAGATGTTTCAGACAAAAATGTAAGTGTGTGTGTGTATGTATGTATGTATGTATGTATGTATGTATGTATGTATATATATATACATAGAAACAGAATATATATATATATATATATGTATGTAGGACCTTTATGCGTTATTTGACGGTCCTGCTTCGCCTTCCAAAATTTTAAGGATTTTAAGGAATTTAGGGGTTTTCCAAAATTTTAAAAGGACCACAAAATCCTTAAAATTTTGAAAGCCCGGACCTTTCAAAATTTTAAGGATTTTAAGGAATTTAAGGCCTGTTAAATTTCTTAAAATCCTTAAAGCCCTTAAAATTTTGAAAGAAAATTAAACTATTTTCCGGAAAGAGGCAGGCCCATTTAAAATTTTAAAAATCCATAAAATCCTTAAAATCCTTAAAATTTTGAAAGGTTGGGGCTTTCAAAATTTTAAGGGTTTTAAGGAATTTAAGGCCTTTTAAATTTCTTAAAATCCTTAAAATCCTTAAAACCCTTAAAATTTTGAAAGAAAATTAAATTATTTTCCGGAAAGAGGCAGGCCCATTTAAAATTTTAAAAATCCTTAAAATCCTTAAAATCCTTAAAATTTTGAAAGCCCGGACCTTTCAAAATTTTAAGGATTTTAAGGAATTTAAGGCCTGTTAAATTTCTTAAAATCCTTAAAGCCCTTAAAATTTTGAAAGAAAATTAAACTATTTTCCGGAAAGAGGCAGGCCCATTTAAAATTTTAAAAATCCATAAAATCCTTAAAATCCTTAAAATTTTGAAAGGTTGGGGCTTTCAAAATTTTAAGGGTTTTAAGGAATTTAAGGCCTTTTAAATTTCTTAAAATCCTTAAAATCCTTAAAACCCTTAAAATTTTGAAAGAAAATTAAATTATTTTCCGGAAAGAGGCAGGCCCATTTAAAATTTTAAAATCCTTAAAATCCTTAAAATTTTGAAAGCCCGGGGCTTTCAAAATTTTAAGGATTTTAAGGAATTTAAGGCCTTTTAAACTTCTTAAAATCCTTAAAATTTTGAAAGAGAATTAAATTATTTTCCGGAAAGAGGCAGGCCCATTTAAAATTTTAAAAATCCTTAAAATCCGTAAAATCCTTAAAATTTTGAAAGCCCGGGGCTTTCAAAATTTTAAGGATTTTAAGGAATTTAAGGCCTTTTAAACTTCTTAAAATCCTTAAAATTTTGAAAGAGAATTAAATTATTTTCCGGAAAGAGGCAGGCCCATTTAAAATTTTAAAAATCCTTAAAATCCTTAAAATCCTTAAAATTTTGAAAGGTTGGGGCTTTCAAAATGTTAAGGATTTTAAGGAATTTAAGGCCTTTTAAATTTCTTAAAATCCTTAAAACCCTTAAAATTTTGAAAGAAAATTAAAATATTTTCCGGAAAGAGGCAGGCCCATTTAAAATTTTAATAATCCTTAAAATCCTTAAAATCCTTAAAATTTTGAAAGGCCCGGGCTTTCAAAATTTTAAGGATTTTAAGGATTTTTAAAATTTTAAATGGGCCTGACTCTTTCCGGAATATATTTTAATTTTATTTCAAAATTTCAAGGATTTTAAGGATTTTAAGAAATTTAAAAGGCGTTAAATTCCTTAAAACCCTTAAAATTTTGAAAGCCCCAACCTTTCAAAATTTTAAGGGTTTTAAGGATTTTAAGGATTTTTAAAATTTTAAATGGGCCTGCCTCTTTCCGGAAAATGATTTAATTTTCTTTCAAAATTTTAAGGATTCTAAGGATTTTAAGAAATTTAAAAGGCCTTAAATTCCTTAAAATCCTTAAAATTTTGAAAGGCCAGGGCTTTCAAAATTTTAAGGATTTTAAAGATTTTAAGGATTTCTAAAATTTTAAATGGGCCTGCCTCTTTCCGGAAAATAATTTAATTTTCTTTCAAAATTTTAAGGATTTTCAGGATTTTAAGAAATTTAAAAGGCCTTAAATTCCTTAAAATCCTTAAAATTTTGAAAGGCCCGGGCTTTGAAAATTTTAAGGATTTTAAGGATTTTAAGGATTTTTAAAATTTTAAATGGGCCTGCCTCTTTCCGGAAAATAATTTAATTTTCTTTCAAAATTTTAAGGATTTTAAAGATTTTAAGAAATTTAAAAGGCCTTAAATTCCTTAAAATCCATAAAATTTTGAAAGGCCCGGGCTTTCAAAATTTTAAGGCTTTTAAGGATTTTAAGGATTTTTAAAATTTTAAATGGGCCTGCCTCTTTCCGGAAAATCATTTAATTTTCTTTCAAAATTTTAAGGGTTTTAAGGATTTTAAGAAATTTAAAAGGCCTTAAATTCCTTAAAATCCTTAAAATTTTGAAAGGCCCGGGCTTTCAAAATTTTAGGGATTTTAAGGATTTTAAGGATTTTTAAAATTTAAATGGGCCTGCCTCTTTCCGGAAAATAATTTAATTTTCTTTCAAAATTTTAAGGGTTTTAAGAGATTTAAAAGGCCTTAAATTCCTTAAAATCCTTAAAATTTTGAAAGCCCCGGGCTTTCAAAATTTTAAGGATTTTAAGGATTTTAAGGAGTTTTAAAATTTAAATGGGCCTGCCTCTTTCCGGAAAATATTTTAATTTTCTTTCAAAATTTTAAGGGTTTTAAGGATTTTAGGAATTTAAAAGGACTTAAATTCCTGAAAATCCTTAAAATTTTGAAAGCCCCAACCTTTCAAAATTTTAAGGATTTTAAGGATTTTAAGGATTTTTAAAATTTTAAATGGGCCTGCCTCTTTCCGGAAAATAATTTAATTTTCTTTCAAAATTTTCAGGATTCTAAGGATTTTAAGAAATTTAAAAGGCCTTAAATTCCTTAAAATCCTTAAAATTTTGAAAGCCCCAACCTTTCAAAATTTTAAGGATTTTAAGGGTTTTAAGGATTTTTAAAATTTTAAATGGGCCTGCCTCTTTCCGGGAAATAATTTAATTTTCTTGCAAATTTTTAAGGGTTTTAAGGATTTTAAGAAATTTAAAAGGCCTTAAATTCCTTAAAATCCTTAAAATTTTAAAAGGCAAGGGCTTTCAAAATTTTAAGGATTTTAAAGATTTTAAGGACTTCTAAAATATTAAATGGGCCTGCCTCTTTCCGGAAAATCATTTAATTTTCTTTCAAAATTTTAAGGATTTTAAGGATTTTAAGAAATGTAAAAGCCCTTAAATTCCTTAAAATCCTTAAAATTTTGAAAGGCCCGGGCTTTCAAAATTTTAAGGATTTTAAGGATTTTAAGGATTTTTAAAATTTTAAATGGGCCTGCCTCTTTCCGGAAAATAGTTTAATTCTCTTTCAAAATTTTAAGGATTTTAAGAAGTTTAAAAGGCCTTAAATTCCTTAAAATCCTTAAAATTTTAAAAGGCCCGGGCTTTCAAAATTTTAAGGGTTTTAAGGATTTTAAGGATTTTTAAAATTTTAAATGGGCCTGCCTCTTTCCGGAAAATAATTTAATTTTCTTTCAAAATTTTACGGGTTTTAAAGATTTTAAGAAATTTAAAAGGCCTTAAATTCCTTAAAATCCTTAAAATTTTGAATGGCCCGGGCTTTCAAAATTTTAAGGATTTTAAGGATTTCAAGGATTTTTAAAATTTTAAATGGGCCTGCCTCTTTCCGGAAAATAATTTAATTCTCTTTCAAAATTTTAAGGATTTTAAGAAGTTTAAAAGGCCTTAAGTTCCTTAAAATCCTTAAAATTTTAAAAGGCCCGGGCTTTCAAAATTTTAAGGGTTTTCAGGATTTTAAGGATTTTTAAAATTTTAAATGGGCCTGACTTTTCCGGAAAATAAATTCATTTTTCCAATAGTTTTACTGAGTTTAGTTTTTTTTTTACTCTCTATCTCCTCATTTTTTAGGCATGAAGAGAAGCATAGACGCCATAGACCGTGGGAGGGAGAGGGCCTCTTGGCTTGCCCATCTCTTTCTCCGTTTAGACAAGAACATAATCTGGAGAGAAGGGGGGCTTACACCTTCTTCTCACCATGCTCCTCGCTCTTCTCTCTTCCCCGCCCCCCTCTCGCGCTCTTTTTTTCTTTC